TTCCCGTACTCCGAGTTTAAGGGATACCGGGCCGCCACGTGGTCTCTCATGGGTTTCGCTATATTACTGCTCATCCTATTGATCGCCATTTTAGCCGTACTTTGTTTCCGACGGCAGAAGAATAATGAGTTAAAACTTTTGCGCAAAAATGATAAGGAATTGGAGGAGAGGTTCAACACTACGTAAAGAATATTCTTTAATATTTTTCTATCAAATTCTTGTGTATTATTAGTTTTGTATTTATTTCTTATTAATAGTACTCTCTGTTTCTTAATTTATGCTGAATTGAGTTGATGTTAATTAATTATAAAAATAATACGAACTACTATTATTGCATGGCAAGGGTAACATAGTAAAGACAGGGGAGAGTAAAATAAAAATCTTATAAAACTTAAATATGAAATTTTACACAAATAAATTGAATAATAATACTAAACAATTAATTGTGATTTCTGTAGTGATGCATAACATTTTTAATAGTCATTAAAACTAACATTTATTTATGTTTTTCATATAATTTTCAATTAATTTGAATGTAATTTTGTTAAAATAAAAAAATGATTTGTATTAATTGTGATTTCTGTAGTGATGCATAACATTTTTAATAGTCATTAAAACTAACATTTATTTATGTTTTTCATATAATTTTCAATTAATTTGAATGTAATTTTGTTAAAATAAAAACAAAATTTTCGATACATATTTATTATTAAAATACTTATTTCTATTTGCAGGTCTTATGAATATTCAACAAATTTTAACAAACATTTAATTGAACAAATAAAAATTCATCAATCATATATTTATTAATTAGTTGAATAAAATTCCTAATTCTAGCATCATAACTGTATTTATTTAATAATATACTTTAAGTATTGGTTTATATATTCGTAAACATAATTACTTATAAGTAAAAAGATCTGGATTAAAATTGAGTGAAAGTTTTGGAAATTGTTGGATAATTTTGAATTTAGAACTTAATGTAGTAAAATAATTTTAATTTTTCACTAAATTTATATCCAGTTAATTAAGATTGTTGTGTTTTTGTGAGTTAATTGTCCACATTTTCAGGCAGGCCAGGGTTAAAATATAAGTCCTTGGTGACATTGAATTGGCGCATAACAGGCCGTTGTTCTATAACACTTATGGTGGCCATATCAGCATAGGTCTATTTAAATTTTAGAATTTTAATGTAAATATTAAAATTCAACTATTTACTTACCTTGTTAAATAGTTGTTGCAAATTAAGTGTGCACGCATGCTGAGCCAGGCACTGCATAAATACGCGGCCAAATATTGTTGTAGAAATCCCTTTGACAAACTCATAATAATAAGCCTCATAACCTAATTCAGCAAAAAGAAACAAGTTGTAAATATGTAAATATTTATTATTTTCAAAAATCATAAATTTTATATCTGTTGCTGAAATGCAAATAAAATTGCAACTTTGATTTAATTATATTGCTTAATGTATTTTTAACCTAAACAAAGTAGAGACAAATTAATTTCATGAATAGTGGCTACATCAATATAAATATTTGTTTACAATTAATATATAAATTATAAAAACTTTTAAGTGCCAAAAATGACATAGTAACATTTACTAATGTTAAGAATAAATAAATAATATACCTTCACTACTCGAACAGATAATATATGCTGCCCCAATGTTTTTATTGTAGTGCTCATCGTCCATGGGTGACATACCAAAGAGAAATACATGTTCCTTACATTTGGTTCTGGCATTAATCACTTCTTCCTTTAAATCTTCAGGGACTAAACGTATTATAGATATATTAATATTAGTTAACAAATTGATTTTGAAATTAGGCTTTATCATTGTTGAACATATAGTTGTTACAGTAAGCAAAATGTTTACTTCAAAACTGATTCCATTTTATTACTTTTTGTATTATTATAATCAATGAAAACAGGTAAAGTAAATATTTTAATTACTAGCCACTATTAATTTCTTACTTTCCCGGCAACAATTAAATATAAAAATCTTCGGTATCTCAGTCAATGATTCATGACACTTTTTAATAGCAAATGTATCCACGATATCACGAAACTTAATAATATCATCGTCTAAGTCTACTTTATTGGCACCATACTTAATCAAGACGTGTTCTTCTTCACCATGTCCAATATACATAACAATTACGGCATCACCAGTGAATTCTTTATCCGTAAATGCCTTTAAAGTAGTAATCATTTGTTGACAAGAATCAATTTCATGTATTTCAACGTCGAAATTCAACTGTTCAAATATTGAGCCAAATTTATTCGCTTCATTCAATAATGCTTTGCTAACATCTGTTGTAACAAATATAAAAGCCTTTCCCCTGGGTTTTGCATCCATTTTGTACCACAATTCGCCTCCCGATCTCATACTGATCGCTCTTTGCACAGAGATCGATACATCAGTTGTACAATCGATAGGTTCAATAGGCGTATTAAACTCTCGCAACTTTCGAGCTGGGTCGTGTTGGCCAGATTCATGCAGTATTTGTGCTAAACGGTCGCAGCTATCCCGATCTTTTGTGTATTCAGTGAATATTAACATTTTCCTGTTTCCTACATCAATTTCCTATTAACATTCGTGTTATATTAATTTATATAATGTTTTGTTTAATTAACATGTGTAGTTAATTTTAAATTAGTTTAATAACTTTTAAATAGTTATTCATTTATTTAGAGCTAATGAACAAGATACTCATATACTGTACTACTGCTATCAATTTAAATATAACTGAACTAGGTATTTTGAGTTTTTATTTTAATTGGTTAAGATATAATTCTTTAATTATTATGATAAATATTATACTAATATATGATATTCATTAAATAGATCACCAAGTTTCAAAATATTAAGTTATTCTAGAGCATAAGCGCACATATATGACCGTTTGCGCCCAACTAGCGATGTATGCATTTAATAGTTTAATAATATATGTACAACACTAGCATTTTATGAATCAGGAATTTGACATTAAGATTAATAATAATTTCTCAGATTTATACTAGTTTTTATTACTCATAACTAGTTATGACTTTTAATTAAATCGTGGCAATGTTTTACTATTAATAACATGTATTAATAAAATTTTGTTAAAGCGGATTCCCTTTTCACTTAAACGGGAAGGGATTCAGAAATCATATACGGGAAGGGATTCCTTTTTCCGATATAAGGATTCCCTTAATTTTCCTTAAATGTCACATAAATACTATATTAAATTGTTTAATATCCTATGATTGAATTATTTAATAGTGAATAAGAACTATAAAACAATCATTAGGAGTGAAAGTATTGAATTATTTATAATAGGGGTGAAAATTTTTTAATTTAATCTAAATTATACCAATACTGTCAATACTGGTATCAATACTGTAGTATTAATTGCAATAAAATTCAATAAAAAACTTCATTTCATATGTAATCATTTTAGATTAAATTCTTATTTCAACTAATTTTATATCAAGTTTTTAAATGGAATTTAAGGGAAGGGAACGGAAATGAAATTCAGGGGTAAGTTTTACCTGTAATATCAATGATCAAAATGTTATTAAAATTAATAATAATGTAAAAATATCAAGTTTAGTAATTTATATTAACCCGAAGGTAAACTAGAGATATTTAAGTAAATTTTATAAAAATATAATATAAAATAATTTCAAAATAATATAATTTTCTTCAGATAATCCGCATACGCCTTGTTAAATTTTCACAAACACCACTTTTTTCTCGTATAATCCGCCAATATTCAGGGTAATTATCAAATTGCTTAATATAGGTTAATATAAATTAATCTATAACATGTTTATATGATTTTAAATATTTAACATAGTTTCAATACAATTTATTTCTATGAAGTACAGTAAATTTGAATATTCATATAATACAAAAATATAACATGCCTGAATATACGGCTGGTAATTTGGGTGATTTTTCAACAATCGCATAAATTCATCAGTAATTTCGACACTTTTTAAATATTCTGTTAATTTCAGTATATAGTAATGTCTAATGGATGGATGGTCCATGGTGGTTCTGGCGTTTCTAACGGTATATTATTACATTATATTTAATACATAACAGTGCTCATATACAAAATGAACTTTTTGCATGTTTTCACATGATTATACGAAACCAGATTCATGGGTGGCATACGTGACGGAATGTGTCATTGATTGCACTTTTCGGACGTAAACTTTTAAATTGTAAGCAACCAGTCAAATATGTTAATAGCTTATGGCTTACGTGACAGTGTGTATTTAAAAACAAACAAAATTTAACTACTTTTACATAAAGTTAAACTTGAATTTTAAACTTACAATTATTATCGTATACTATTTTAGTAACTAATGTTTCTTTACCAACAGTGGGGAACAAAAACTTTAATTTATTATTATGCTGATATTTTAGGTATTTAATTTTTTAATAAAACTTGTAAGTTTTATGTTTACTATTAACTAGTAACCAGTAAATAAAATATATAACGTAAATGTATAATTTAAAAACTCAATTTAATTTGAAAATGTTATATTATTACTGATAACAGTACCGGTGTTTAAATGTATAATAATTTATTATACAGACAAATATTTTGCGTTTGTGCCAATTGTATAAATTATATAAATAAGTTTGAATTTTCCAATATATTAGTAAAATACAGTCACAATTATTAACAACTAATATCAAAAATATTCTTTAAATACTAGTAATATTTTTAAAACATTTTCACCTTGAAAAATAACAAAAAAAAACATTTTGTGCTTTAAATCTTAAGTTTATAAAAGTAATATAAATTAATGATTTATACTTCATTAAAATTTTGTTAAAAATAAAATAATTTGTGATTCGCAAAGGTTCTAGACTAATATTTTTGTATTATCTTATAATTACTTAAAAATATTTGAGCAACTAAATCTTAAAATATAATTCATTTAATAAAACACGTTATAAATTCTCATTCAATATATAATTTACTTAACATTCGTAGCATTTTCACACATAATACTGTATTTCTAGCAATAAATCTATTTATTTGCCTTTAAATAGACCAGGGTTAAAGTACAAATCTCTGTCCACGTCTTCATAGTCAGCTTCGGATGTTGGACATATCAACCAGGTTCAATTCCTCACATACCTCTTCAGATCTGCCATCAGACACAACAATCTCTGAGATCTCTGCGTCTGTGCCACCACTTCTTGTCACGACCTCAATGTCCGGAGATCTCCATTCAGACACAATAACCACAGACACCTCTATAAGCGATATCCAATTTATTATTAATTTTATATTAACTAGTAAATAAAATTAATTTATTAAATATACATTGATTTCACACCACTATCATTTAATTTGAATGCAATCAATGGTTACGTTATTTTGTGAAACCGAATACTGTGTTCACAAAATTAATTCACAAATAAGTATTTAATTAAAAAGTAATTAATTTCATTTCAAATTCACTCGAAAAACATATTTAAAATTACACGCGATTACCAGTGCCTCCAAAATGAGAGTCATATTAATCTCGACTCAAATCCTTTTACTCATAAATTATATAAATTGCAAAACAAAGCGCACGTCAACTCCCGGCTCAATGTCAGGCCAGTCGGTCATCAGTCGACAGACTAATGAGGAAAAGATAGCTTTCCTTATCAGGCCTTTCCTTAAGGAGTGGGCCTCAGAGGACATCATCGCGTCGGCCATTAATTACCAGTACTTTAGCCGTAATTTCAGTCGTACGGCCACTAATACACAGTTTANCATTAATTATAACTATTATTAACTATTAATTATAACAATTATCATGATGGTCGTGTATTAATCAATAACAATTATGTTTCATTTGCATACAAAAGCTGATCACGACGATCGTGTAGTGCCGGCTCATTCATACAAGTTTGCCGCTGAACTTCAGTACCAATTGGGAGCTAAGTTACCGGACACACCACTCATGATAAGAGTGGACACCAACTCTGGTCACGGAGCAGGAAAACCAATTTCCAAATGGGTTCATAACTTTATTATACTCTTTACATACTCGTTATAATAGGTTCACTTTAATGATCATATATTTTGTGTTATTCCAGATCGAAGAATATACAGATATCGTGTCATTCATATTGAATTCATTGCAAATTGATTATAACATCCAAAGCAATGTTATTAAAAGAAATATTCTGGCTAAATATTTCGGTCGAAAAGTATAATTTACAGAAAATAATGTCAGATAATAATTCTTATCGCAATTCAAGCTATTATTTATTGTTTTGTGATTTATTTTAGTGCCTTTTTAAATGTTTATTATTTACTGTAGTAGATTATATGAAACCAAAAATAAATTATAGTAATTTAACATAATATTCAATAATAAAGTAATACATTTATATTTTTAAAAATAAAATTTCATATTTAATTTCGTATTGAAAAATTTCATATAAATTATGATTGTAATATATAAATTACAATAAATACAAATGTAAAAGCAATTACAGGTAAGAGTATGTGTAAAGTCACCACAAATTAACAATAAATTTAGGAATCTGCAAATAGGTCCTTGTTCACATTACCCTTGATACTTACGAAGTTTAGAAATCCTTGATAATGAACTACAATAGTGGGAATTTTCAACACAAATGTACATCTTAGTGCAATGAATGTGACTTGTACAATTGTATTACATAATCACTATTATATAACTCATCAAACAATAGCTCACAAACTATCCCTCAAAACAGTGGATTGAATGCAATATTGACAGCAATTGGTGTGAAACCCAGTGCTAAGCAATGCATTCAAAGTGAGCGCATAAATGCCCATAACTTGCAGTCTTAAGGCTGACGTCAGCCCTTCACTACTGTTACGTAAAACTTGTTTTGAATTTTCATCCAAAATCGCGATCAAAACCAACAATTTATAGCCTATTATCAGATGAGATATCCGCACCAAATGTATGGCTATATTTCACATCAATTACTACTATTGTTATAATTAATACCCATTTAAATGCATTAATAAGTGCTTAATAACTGACTATTATTATGCTTGTAATGTATTGAACAGTGTTTTACAGACAAGTGTTTACAACAAATCATTTTCTCCACACTTGTGTTCAC